AGAGACGACGCTGTGGAGAAAAGAAGATCCATTTAAAGTGCGTGTTCCAGCGAACCGAAAAACGTTGTCTAGCTATTGGTTCTGGATTGACCTACATTCTGAGTTTTCTCCACTCTGCAAAAAGAAGATTACCAACTGCAAACTTAAACTTGTTCCTGATTTTTTTTTTTGGGGGGGAACATGCTCCCATCTATTCGTGGGGAGCAGCACGTGCTGGGAACTGGGGCCAGCATCCCATTCAAAATCATATTGAGAAATTGAGAAACTTTATAGAGAAATCCCTGAGATGTCGGGGCCATGATTGCATACATAGACCATGGTTTTCCTTTGAACCTTTTTTCTCTTCTGGCCATCCACAGTACCCAGAAGCCCAGGAAAACTTATCCGAAACTGCCATTTTGTGGTCTTCGATCTTACTGCCAACCATAATGAAACTCTCGGTCCAAACCACAGGCTGCTTACCCAGTCCCAGAAACCTCTGGCAACTATGCATTCCCACCATAAGTGACTTGAGTCCTCGAGTGACTCACGAGGGCATGCATCACAGTTCGGGTTCACCTCTCTCAATTTGTGCAGGTTCTTGTAATTTCACGGAAATCGTCATGGCACAAAAACAGATATGGTTTGGGTATTCCCCTTAAGTTTCTGGACCTTGGTTGAATCATGAAGGTAGTCTCTTGTTATGGCGTTGGATCCTGAGTCTTTATGGTTTTGTCTTTTGTTTTCGAACTCTAGCAAATCCTTGTTTTTTCGAAGCATCCTGTATTTCAGCAGATAAGGATTGATCTAAACCACCATTTTTTCCTGACACTGGAATGGTCTACGACGAAGTCAGTAATGCACATCATATGCTCTCGTGCATCACGTACGTGCACACCTTTTTTTTTGTCAAAAATTCATGCGGGGCTCATGTGCTCGTGCACGCATGTACGTAATTGTGAGCATGTTGGTGCGCTCGGATAAATGCACGTGTCATGCATGGCCCATGCATGTGCGCTAGTGCACCCCTCTTATGGCATGGCACGATCCATGGGGCGGAAGGGAATCTGGTAGGGCACAATCAACGCTGGAACTTTTCCGACTTACCTGTGGACGAGATTGTGGTTCGATGCATCCAGGAATGGCTGTAACTGCAGTCAGATACATTTAGGAAAGTGCTAGTGTGAGTACGCCCTTAGATGTGCTGGATGTAGGTGCTGGTGCATACGTGAGGCTCCGGGATGACATCACCCGTAGCAACGGCAATAGAGCAAAACCTCTTTTTGTTTTTTAGTCAAGAGCAACCTTTGCTTGTGTGGTGGGTGTACGTGGATGACTATGTATTTCTTTCTTTTCTTTTCTCTTCATTTATTATGACTATATATTTGTCCCTCACCTCACATATTTTAGCTGGCGTTCTGCCATGTTGTGGAACATATCTTTCTTTCACAGTTTCACTATCTACCTACCACTACTCCCACCTACCACTACTCCGAAGGCTATACAGTGGACCCCTGCAAGAATAGCTTTCTACCTCTCTTCCGTGAAGGGAGGTTACCTCTCTCCGGCATGTTGATAGGTCAGTTTAAACCACCAGTACATGGGCACCTGGGCCGCGGGGCTGACACCTCAAATTCTGGAGGCGCGAAACTAAAGCCGGGCGGCTGATCGAATTTACCAACGGCGGGCACAGCGTTTGACGTTTAGGCCTCGTTTTCTCGTGGCGACAAGTTTCCGACTGCAAGGCTGGGGCCGTGTACTTGTGCTTCAAGAATAATTCTATCAACAGTGTCATGATCATTAACTTTTATATATATATATATTTTATTTTTATTTTTTCCCCCTTTGATCTTTCTTTTTTATAACAAGCCAGGAAACAGGCCCGGCTAGGAGCCTAAAAGAGGATTAGCTTATCTGTGTCATCTTCCCCCCCTCCCCCCCACCTTTCCATATAAGGGAGACTCGGTTTGTAGGGTCCAGATTTTACAGGAGCCAGGCTCACTCTGTGGATTTCAGACTGAGACAAGTGGGCTCCTGGGGCAAGGTTGCACTAGCACAGAGGATTGGGTTTAATGCCTGAATGTGGGCGTGTTTCGGGGAGGTGAAGAAAATTGCAATTGAACTGCTTTCTTGCACCTCTTCATAAAAGACATCCAGATTTAGGCTCCGAATGCGCTCCTCTTTGCTACAGGAATTATGCAAAATGATAACTCACGACAAAAGACGCAAGGAATCGAATATACTCAAAGAACGAGTAGCACAACAGATGATTAGAAGAAAGCGCTCCAACCACAACATAGCCGACAATCCCAATGATCCACCATGCAAACCACTAACCATACTTGCGTTAAAAGCGCGAAGCACTAATAGCGCGAGTGAGAGGAGATACTAAACTCAATCAATCTATGTATACCGCGGGATCACGCCCGGGTACCCGAAGTTCACATTCCATCAAGGCTACAGTCTTCCGTCACGTAAGTCGAACTAGAGATCCCAACCGTCGCTGCTAACGGTACCGTTCCAAAATTCAGACCAGGCCCAGGGTCCTAGGCCCAAGTCGGCCAACTCAAACCCACACCAGTACCGTCCGTGGCCAGCGGACAAACCAAAGGGACTAAGACAAAACTAAAAACAAACAATGAATCAAACCCGAAATCAATACCAAATCAACACAGTCGACAATCCAAAGCCGCGTATCCTGCCACTGTCAAAGCTATGAAACCGTGAAAGACTGCAATGAATCCGGCCCGAGAGTCCACCAATGATAACAAGCTAACAGGCTCCCCTGTCCGTACAGGGACCTCATTCCCGTTTTTTTTTTTTTTTTTTTCCCCTAAGGGCGATGGCCTTGAGGTATTATCTTTGGACTAACCAGCCCAGGTAAATTCAATGTTGTGTTGCAGACATTGTTGTACAGCCGGCACTGGGGCATAATAAATTAAGCATCCCGTATTTCTTCGTAGTTCCAAAACAAAGCAAGGGCTACACCTTTTTTTTTTTTTTTTTTTTAAGGCTAAGCCCAACCAATTCAATTACCTGTTGAATCTGGACTGGATGGCCTTTCAGGCCTTTTTTTTATTGTCATTATAGTATTTCACGTATACCTATTCTGATTATTATCTTAAAACATTTTATTACAGAGAAGGCCAAGTGCGGAAGGCTTTCAATAGCAATGTTTACATAGCAGTCTTCTGCTACAGTGGGGTTGTCCTGCCCTGCCTTGAGAAGCGAGCCCCGCCATCATCGCACACTGGCAGGCTGCAAGTAAATTCGGGTTAGAACTACTCTGTATTTCAAAAGTTCACGGGTGTAGGTGTCATTCACAGAACGGACCGGCCACGTACAGGTAACTGAGAAGCTAGGCTACCAGCCAGGCCGCCACCCTATTTTCCCGGGCTGTTCGGCTGTGCAAGGACCAGGGAAGGTCGCAGCCGAAAAAAAAAGAAAAAAAAAGGAGCATGTTCTACAGGAGCGAGGTCCCACTAGCAGAAGGATCGGATAGAACGGCCATTGGGCGACAGGCCAGATGCCGTCCGATCTCAAATATCGTGTGATCTTCAAAATGAGCGATTTATGGATTTTCCATCTTGTATTTCTTGTATTTTACTATTCATAGAAAATGCGGAGACCTCTTCTGCGATTGGTTGTCACGGCCGTATAAAGTGCAGTTTCCTCTATCCGACGGGAGTATGCTCGACCCGGTGCATCGACGGGGTCGACCACAAGCCTTGGGATCGAAGGAAAGAAACGGAAACAGATGCAGCAAGCGGACTACAATTGCGTTGACGGTTAGCAAGATGCAGCTGTCAGCGGCGCAGTTCATGGATGCAGGACGTAACCATTACTGACCAGGCACTTAGTAGGGATCGGGTCCTGGTCGCGTACTTGCACTTAAGGACTGCACATATCCGAGAAATTGGCACCATGCATCCCTCCTGCGCGGTACGGTTTGTATCTGGCCAGCACGTCTTAGGGCATACTGAAGTTAGATTTTTTTACATATTTTTGGATGGAACTGCCGCCAGATACATCCACGCATGGCCGTGAATGCGTTCAGATACATTTGAGGTACTTGTAGTGTGAGTGCTCACTTAGACATGCTGTACTGCACATATCTAAGAAATTGGCACCGTGCATCCGTCCTGCGCAGTAGGGGTTGTATCTGGCCAGCACGTCTTAGGGCATACTCACACTACAACTTTTTTACATATTTTTTTTGGATGGAATGGCGGCCAGATACATCCAGGCACGGCCGTGGATGCCTTCAGATACATTTGAGATACTCGTAGTGTGAGTACTCACTTAGACATGCTGTACTGCGCATATTCGAGAAATTGGCACCATGCATCCGTCCTGCGCAGTACGGGTTGTATCTGGCCAGCACGTCTTAGGGCATACTCATACTACAACTTTTTTACATATTTTTGGATGGAATTGCGGCCAGATACATCCAGGCATGACCGTGAATGCCTTCAGATACATTTGAGATACTCGTAGTGTGAG